GGCTGATTCCTCACACACTATCAACCCTAACTCCCAAATTAGCCCTATGACAAATTACCAGTCTCTTATTCATTCATCTATGATAATCACTAGTCATAGATTGAATGGAACAAACTATCTGGAGTGGTCTCAATATGTCAGACTTGCAAATGATGGGAGGGGAAAGCTGGGTTACATCACAGGAGAAATCAAACCAAAACTACCTGCAGAAGAAGGGTACAGTACATGGTGGTCAGAGAATTCACTCATAACAACTTGGCTTCTCAACTCCATGGAGCCCTTAATTGCCAAACCTCATATGTTTATGAAAACTGCAAAGGAGGTATGGAACTCTATTAAGGAAACTTATTCAGATCTTGAGAACTCTTCTCAAAATTTTGAACTCAAAACCAAACTGTGGCAATCTAAACAAGGAAATAGGGATATGATTTCATACTACAATGAAATGGTATCTCTGTGGCAAGAATTAGATCAATGCTATGGTGATGAAGAGTGGGAGAGTGCTAAGGATCTGGCCAGACATAAGAAAAGAGAAGAGAATGATAGGGTCTATATGTTTCTAGCAGGGATCAATAGGGACCTCTGGCCTCAATCAGAGAGGTCTCTTTTGAGATCAGGTTGGAAGATAGCTGGAGGATGGTCATGTACAACACTCCAGTACCTAATGAGGAACCTGGGGACTCTTCAACTTTAGTGGCTAGTAGTGATGACAAGAAAAAACCTTGGTGTGATTACTGCAAAAAATTGTGGCACACAAGGGAAACATGCTGGAAACTTAATGGAAAACCACCGGGAGCCGGAAAGAAGAAAGTTGAGAGGGCCCTACAAACTACTGTGACTGAGACTCAACAAGAGTAAGGAGTTGAATCTAAACAGCTGCCTTTCACTCAGGAACAGATAGAGTACCTACTCCAATTTATACCCACCCAGAAAATCTCCAACCAGGAAAACCCTTCCTGTTCTTTTGCCCAAAATGGTAAAATAACATCATTTTTTTGTTCTGAAAAACCAAAAAACACCTGGGTCATTGACTCAGGTGCAACAGACCACATGACCTACATTCCAAATCTCTTTTCTTCATATCAACCTTGTGCAGGAGATAAGAAAGTTAGAGTTGCAGATGGCTCTTTTTCAGCCATAGCAGGGATGGGAAATATTAAAATTTCCTCATCGATTAACCTTTCTAAAGTCTTACATGTTCCAAAACTTTCATGCAATCTTATCTCTATCAGCAAAATAACCAAAGACCTTCAGTGTTGTGTAAAGTTTTATCCTTCTTATTGCATTTTTCAGGATCTGGCATCAGGGAGGATGATTGGCAGTGCTAGAGAGGAGGATGGCCTATATGTTTTTTGATGAAGGAACACAATTGAATAAACAAGGTCAAGAAAAAACTTGTCTGCAAACTATTTCCTTTCCTTGTAATAATGAAGTGTATTTAATGCACTATAGATTAGGTCACCCAAGTTTTTCCTATCTAAAAAGGTTGTTTCCTAAGTTATTTCATAATAAAAATCCTTCATCATTTCATTGTGATATGTGTGCACTTGCCAAACATCATAGGAGCTCTTATATCCCTCATAGTTACAAGCCAACTAGTCCTTTTACTATTATACATAGTGATATTTGGGGTGCATCTAGAGTTTCAACTTTGAAAGGAAAAAGGTGGTTTGTAACTATCATAGATGATCACACACGGGTCACATGGGTTTTTTTGATTAAAGAAAAATCTGAGGTTGAAGAGGTGTTCAAGAAATTTTACTCAATGATTCAGACTCAATTCAAAACTAATATCAAAATTGTGAGAAGTGATAATGGTCTTGAGTATTTTTCTAAGAAGTTAAATAATTTTTTTTGCTGAAAAAGGGATTATTCATCAAAGTTCCTGTATAAGTACACCTGCTCAGAATGGAATAGCTAAGAGGAAAAATAGGCATTTGCTTGAAGTCACTCGTGCAATTATGTTTTCTGCTAGAATTCCAAAATATTTATGGGGAGAAGCTGTTTTACATGCTACCTATTTAATTAATAGGATGCCATCAAAGACTCTAGGACTTAAAACTCCCATTGATACACTTCAAGCCAGTTTTCCTGAAACTAGGCTTATTAACTCTCTTCCCATAAAAATTTTTGGCTGCACAGTTTTTATTACCAACCCTGACAGAACTGCAAGCAAATTTGATCCTAGAGGCAAAAAATGTGTTTTCTTAGGACTATCTTCAACACAGAAAGGCTATAAATGTTTTGACCCTACAACAAAAAAGATGTTTGTAACAATGAACACTGTTTTTGTTGAAAATTAACCTTTTTTTGGTACTCATCTTCAGGGGGAGATTCCTAATGAAGATGGTGATAATGTGTCAAATATCCATGAAAAACTTGAATTTCTTGACATTAGTCTAGATGCACAATATAATAGACAGTTAGATGCACTAGAAAATAGTCAAGAATCAAAAGAAAATGAAATAAAATTTTCTGAGACAAGGAAAGATGATGAACAGCAGACAAGTAATTTTTTTGGCAAGGTTTATGAAAGGAGAGTTCCAAATCAAAGAATAGAGGACATCCCTGATCCTGCCACTGCTCATGAATCTGACTCAATGTCAGAAAATGACAAAGGTAATAATTCCAGTGATCTAAATCTACCCATTGCTCTCAGAAAAGAAAAAAGATCATGTGTTAAATACCTTATCTCAAACTATTTGTCCTATTCTCAGTTATCTGCATCATTTGCAGCCTTTACCTCTAGTCTTTCCACCGTTTCTATTCCCTTAACCATACAGGAAGCTCTATCTAAACCTGAGTGGAAGAAGGCTGTTTTAGAAGAAATGAATGCTCTTGAAAAGAATCAGACATGGCAGGTTGTGGAATTACCCAAGAACAAACCAACAGTAGGATTCAAATGGGTATTTACCCCTAAATTCAAGGCAGATGGTACACTTGAAAGATATAAGGCCAGATTGGTTGCCAAAGGATATACACAAACCTATGACATAGATTATACAGAAACTTTTGCTCCAGTTGCAAAATTAAATACTATAAGGATCCTTCTATCTCTAGCTGCTAACCTAGACTGGAATGGCATGAAGGTGAAAAAAACAGTAAATGTACTCATTGATAGTGGTGCTACCCACAACTTTATTTCCCAGCAACTGGTTGAAAGATGGAATATACCTCTCCATAGTATCAAGGCATATATGGTACAAATAGGCAATGGAGAATTGATTCCTAACTACGGTAGATGTGAAGGAATGAAGCTGAATGTTCAGGGAAATGAAATTCAACAGAATTTTTATATGTTGGAGCTTGGTGGGACTGACATGGTGCTAGGATTGGAATGGTTGACTGATGTAGGTGTTATGGAAGTTAATTTCCAAAACCAGATCATAAAATGGAAGAAACAAGGGCTGAATCATGTTATTCAAGGTGATGGGTGTTGGTTGTACTGTGAAGGACAAAGCACAAAGCAGAAGCAAATACATATAGTTGAAAGCAGAAGGAACGAGCTTATAAAGGAGTACCTTGAAGTTTTCAAGTCAATTCCGGATAAAATGTCATGGCAGTGGTGTAATTCTGCTGTGAAACACATAGGAAAAAAAATGGAATCAGCCAAGCTAAGGGTGCAGAAATCATGCCAGTATTGGAAAGGAAGAAGTGCTAGGATGAAAGAAAAGATAAAGATTGAAGCTGTGTCCTATCAACCACCTTGAGGGCAAGGTGGATGTTTAGGGGGGGAAGTATTGTTAGGGATTGGGCCTAATGGAATGTTAGGAATTGGGCCTAATAAACCAAGAGTAATAATAAGTGTAGGAGTTAGTATAAATAGACAAAACTGGGGAGTAGTCAGGGGGCGGTTTTAGACATTTTAATTTGGGATTTTGGGAAGATCGAGAACTTTCTCTTTCTTTAGGGGGGCTACGGCTCATTGGGGGCTTCGACCATTGTTACAGAACTTTTCTTCTTCAATAAGATTTCAGTTGTTTTGCTTAATATCTTTTGTGAATTTTCTGCACATCGGGAGCTTGTTCTATCAGAGCAACACTAGAAGATGGGCCTTACGTAGGCGAGCCGGACAGTGGATTTCGATCGAAAATCTGGACCGTGAATAGACGTCACGCGCCTGCGTGTGAGTTGAGGTCGCTGGACTTGTGGTGGTGCGTGTAGCACACTCACGGTGAAGTTGGGCGTCGGATTTCGGATCCTGTGTCGTCGGAGGTAGGTGCACCTCCTGGGTATGGCTGTGATGCAAAGTCTGGCCTGAAGAGAATATGTGGCTGTAAAGACTAACTGAGTTTCTGAAAAATTAGCAGCTAATTGATTTTCAGGAAATTAGCAGCTAATTGATTTTCTGATTTTTTTTATTGCTCTGATACCATGTTGTAATATAAATTAGAATAATATTGAAAAGTGGAGGAAAGATTTTCTGTGTATTTCATTGGAGGGTTAAGGCCCTATATATATTACAAAGATGGAATATTCCTATATAAGATGCTATACAATAACAATGTCTAGAGTATATTCCTAAAGCATATTCTTAAATACAATAATACTTTCACATGGATGATAGTCAGCCATGTGACTAAATATATTTTAAATATTCTTAGACATGTATACAATAATACAATATTTTTAAATCATCATTTTCATCATTTTCATTTACCCCAGTGCCGCAAAGGCTCCCACCTATGGTGGGGTAAGGGGGGGTCGGATGTACGCAGTCTTACCCCTGTACTAAAGCACAGAGAGACTGTTTCCGGATGACCCATAGTGAAAATTGAGTCCAAAATTGCATGCACTGACTGCTGCTTCATAACAAAGAAGCGCAGACAGTTTAGTGAACCATTTTGCTTTATTCCATCATAATATCAAGCCAAAAAATAATGAATCTTTGGCATCAAATATTTTTAAATATATTCCTAAATATATTTTAACAACTCCAATTGATAGTCAGCCTTCTTTGAGCTATTAATAGTCATGGATGATTGATGGTGATGATGCAGGATAAGAGAGAAGATTTGGGCTCTAAGTTGGAGGGGGGAACAGTTGTTGGCACTGCCTCTGCTGCTGTTTTGGCGGGCGATGGATGCACCCATCATGGCATTACTGAGGTTGAAATCGCATTCAATCCAGCCGAACATCCGAGTGAGCCGTTTGCTGACAACAACAATGATAACCCTATTTATTGCCCATTGCCTGAACCTCCTGCTGCTTCTATACTAAATGTACGTTTCCATGCAACTTATTAGCTATCTCCTTTAACAGACACATGTATATAAGATGCGTTCTAATAGAAAGAAGTCTTAGTCTTAATATGAGAAATGTGAATCATTTTTTGCAGCGAGATTTAATTTTATTGCAGTAAAAGAGTTTCATGCCGCACTAAAAGATATGTGCGGTTATATTTTCATAAATCCTTCACAAAATGTCACGTTACATCTTCTTAATGCAACATGAAGTGCAACATTATCAAATTCTAATGCAACATTGGGTTATTTTAGTGCAACATTGTCTAATCGAAATGCTAATGAAATATGAAACTGTTTTAGTCAACTCAACCGTCAAGGTTCATACTCATTTCTCACATTAGATGCATTTCTAACTTGAACACATATATATATATAATTAGGTTCAAGTGAGAAAATGATCTTAGCAGATAAATGAGAATGAATCTGGACCGTTAGTTTGATAGATGCTCTAATTTCGTAACAGTAAATTGATCACTATTATTGAGGTAAAATTGCAGAAAGGAAGAAGATACAGACGAGGTGCTTCGAGAGGCCTCAACTCTCCCAGATCCCAATTTCCCAAATCCAAAATCTGCCTACCTTTCTATTCACAGCTCACCCTATTTATTCTTTTTCTAATGGACCACCCCGCTTTCAGTTATAGGGCCTAAACCCCTATTATTATACAATATTAAGCGACCTAGTAGCATTCTTCTTATTCTAGTACTATCCTCTGTTCTTTAATTCTTGCAACAATTTGACTTTCACGTTTGCCAACGCACAACTTTGACTGTAATTATATTTAATTATGTATTAGTAAACATTATAAAAATTTGATATTTTGGAAATTCACATTGATAGGAATTTAATAACATTTTATACATAATAATTTGATTATGTATATTAGTAGAAAATCGTGCTTAAAGTAAGGTCTGTGAATACTGAATAGTGCAAAAATCACAATGTTGCAAGAATTAAAGAACGGAGGAAGTATTGTTTTAGGTCTCTATCATCACCCCCGACAACCACCTTGTCCTCAAGGTGGGGAGTAAGAAACAGCCATGCCATTTAGTTTCATCTTGATGCCTCTTCCTTCCCAGTACGTCCTCGCTTGCTTATCAACTCTCAGCCATATTTCCTCATCTTTTATATTGCTGGGACCCTCACATTTTGTTCTGTTTCTTTCCGGATCAACCTCTTCCCGGGACTTGGTCAGTGCCATTAAGTAGTCCTTAACTGATGCTTGTTCTAAAATTTTCTGCTTAATCACAGAAACCCCTTGCTCCTCTTTGACTACAGATGTAGAGGGAATGAGAAACACAATATTTGGGCTCTTATGCAGATAATCACAAATATATGCTCTTTCTTCTGTCTGCTTGATAAAAATCGTTAGGGCAGCAACTTCTGCTCCCCAAAGATTTGTTAGAAGGAACCCATGTTTCTCTTTCAACCATTTTGTTAGGGACCCGGTAGAATAAGAGTAAATAAGAAATGTAATAGATAGAGTAGTATAAATAGAAGGGAGTGGGCAATAAAGAGTAGGCTGTTTAGACGTTTTAATCTGGGACTTGGGAAGATCGAGAACTTTCTCTTTCTTTTGGGGGGCTTCGGCCAGATTTATTGTTCATCGCTAATAAAGTTTGCTGTAGTTTCTTTGAATTGTTGTTCATCTTTCTGTTAATGTTCAGTATACCTGGGGAAGTCTAACAGGAACGATGGAAGATTGGGGGCTGTTTTGGGAAAAAATGCGCGAAGATACCAGGCGTTTGTGCGAAAGGATACGCAAAATAAGCCCGCAAAGAAACAATCGGCACTCGCAGAAAGAGTCGCGAACTAATTCGCACTCGCAGGAGTTGCAGAAAGAGTCGCGAACTGTTTCGCACTTGCGAAAGAAGCCGCGCGAAGAAGTGGGGAAGCTCGGGGAAAAGGATAAGCGAGAAAAAATGGAGAAAGAGAAACGCTCAACCCTAGAAAACGAAAAGCGCTCAAACATGGAGAAGGAGAAGAGCTCAAAACCAGAGAAAGAGAAGTCTTCAAACCTGGAGAAGGGGAAGCCCAAGCTGCGACAAAAATGTCGTAGGCGAGGATGGTCAAGGACTGTGCGTCGCTGCTTGAATTCGAAAAGCAAATACCCTTCTCAGTCACAAGATACTTCTTCCGGTCCTCTGGTTTTGACTAGAGCAGACAAGTCCAGTTCGAAATCTTTATTTGAATTTCCAGAGTCGCAGCAGAATTTGGTTATTCAGCAGAACACCTATGGAGAAGAGGAATTCAGTGATAAACCATCAGTTAATCTTGAACCTGAAGATGGAACAGTTGTTGGATTCTCCAGAAGTAAGTTGTTGTAGAAAAATGTAACATATTCTTGTTATTTTAATTACTTGTACATCCGGAACTGTGTAGATAAGAATTAGAGTAGATAGGACTCTCTAATTAGTAGATAAGCTCACAGAATAGATAGAATAGATAGATCCTATTTTTTAGGATCTGTAACAACTTGATTTTATCTGTAAACATGTATATATACCATGGCCGGATGGCTCAATAATATTAAGGAAGTTTTATTCCTAAAACTTACATGGTATCAGAGATTCGGTTTAAACAATGGTAGAAACCAGTGAGGCTGATTCCTCACACACTATCAATCCTAACTCCCAAATTAGCTCTATGACAAATTACCAGTCTCCTATTCATTCATCTATGATAATTACTAGTCATAGATTGAATGGAACAAACTATCTGGAGTGGTCTCAATCTGTCAGACTTGCAATTGATGGGAGGGGAAAGCTGGGTTACATCACAGGAGAAATCCAACCAAAACTACCTGCAGAAGAAGGGTACAGTACATGGAGGTCAGAGAATTCACTCATAACAGCTTGGCTTCTCAACTCCATGGAGCCCTTAATTGCCAAACCTCATATGTTTATGAAAACTGCAAAGGAGGTATGGGATTCTATTAAGGAAACTTATTCAGATCTTGAGAACTCTTCTCAAATTTTTGAACTCAAAACCAAACTGTGGCAATCTAAACAAGGAAATAGGGATATTATTTCATACTACAATGAAATGGTATCTCTGTGGCAAGAATTAGATCAATGCTATGGTGATGAAGAGTGGGAGAGTGCTAAGGATCTGGCCAGACATAAGAAAAGAGAAGAGAATGATAGGGTCTATATGTTTCTAGCAGGGATCAATAGGGACCTAGATGAAATTAAGGGGAGGATACTTGGAAAAAAACCTCTACCCTCTATCAGGGAGGTATTTTCTGAAATCAGGATGGAGGATAGCAGGAAGAAGGTTATGTACAGCACTCCAGTACATAATGAGGAATCTGGGGACTCTTCAGCAATGGTGGCTAGGAGTGATGACAAGAAAAAACCCTGGTGTGATCATTGCAAGAAATTATGGCACACTAGGGAGACTTGTTGGAAAATTCATGGCAAACCACCAGGGGCAGGAAAGAAAAAAACTGAGAAAGCCCTACAAACAACTGTGACTGAGACTCAACAAGAACCACAAGTCAAGTTCAATCAACTTTCATTCACTCAGGAGCAGATAGGGCAACTTCTTAACTTCCTTAATTCCCAGAAAACCCAAAATTCCCAGAAAGAATCCAAACCAGAATCTTCCTCTTGCTCTTATGCCCAAAATGGTACCTATTCATCATTTTTTTGTTCTGGGAAATCTAAAAATACCTGGATTATTGACTCAGGGGCTACTGATCACATGACTTCTATTTCAAACCTTTTTTCTTCATATAAACCTAGTGCAGGAGATAAAAAGGTTAAGGTTGCAGATGGTTCTCTATCAACCATTGCAGGGATGGGAAATATTAGTATTTCTTCATCACTGAATCTATCCAAAGTCCTTCATGTCCCTAATCTATCCTGCAATCTTACTTCAGTTAGTAAAATAACTAAAGATCTACAATGTTGTGTCATTTTTTATCCCTCTCATTGCATTTTTCAGGACCTAGCATCGGGGAAGATGATTGGCAGTGCTAAGGAGGAGGATGGACTCTATATCTTTGATGGAGAAACTCAATCTAATAAAAAAGGTCTAAGAAATGCTTGTTTGCAAACTGTTTCTTTTTCAAATAATAAAGAGTTGTATTTACTTCATTATAGACTAGGACATCCTAGTTTCTATTATTTAAAAAAGATGTTTCCTCAATTATTTCTAAATAAAGATGCTGCTTTGTTTAATTGTGATATGTGTGCTCTTGCAAAACGTCACAGAAACACTTATTTACCCCACAGTTATAAACCTACTAGCCCTTTTACCTTGGTACATAGTGATATTTGGGGTCCATCTAGAATACCAACTTTAAAGGGAAAGAGATGGTTTGTAACTATTATTGATGATCATACTCGTGTCACATGGGTATTTTTAATCAAAGAAAAATCTGAAGTTGAGAAAATATTTAGAACATTTTATGCTATGGTCCAAACCCAATTCAATACCAAAATTAAAATGGTAAGAAGTGATAATGGCCGTGAATATTTTTCTCAAACTTTAAACAACTTTTTTTCTGAAAAAGGCATTATTCATCAAAGCTCTTGTGTCAATACACCAGCTCAAAATGGACTTGCAGAAAGAAAAAATAGACATTTACTTGAAGTCACTCGTGCAATCATGTTTTCAACAAACATACCAAAATATTTGTGGGGAGAAGCAGTGTTACATGCAACTTATTTAATTAATCGCATGCCATCCAAAATTTTAGGATTTAAAAGTCCTATTAGTTTACTACAACACTTCTTTCCTACAAATAGATTGGTAAACACCCTTCCTTTAAAATTTTTTGGTTGCACAGTGTTTATCAAAAATCCAGATAAATCTGCAAGTAAGTTTGATCCTAGAGGGAAAAAATGTGTTTTTCTAGGTGTTTCTGCCACTCAAAAAGGGTATAAATGTTTTGATCCTACAACCAAAACAATGGTTGTTACTATGGATATTATTTTTATGGAAGAACAACCTTTTTTTGATTCTCATCTTCAGGGGGAGAAATTAAGTGAAGATGTTTCTATAATGCCAAATATTCATGAAAATTTTAATTTTCTTGATATTAATCAGGATGATAATGTTTTTTCAAATATCAGTACACCTGAAAATGATCAAGGAATTAAAAATAATGAAGTAAATCCAACTGAACCAATTGAAAAGGATCAACAGACAAGTCAGTTCTTTGAAAAAACTTATGAGAGAAGGGTTAGAAATCAAAGAATAGAGGAAGTTCAAAAACCTACAACTGTCCATGATTCTGCCTCAATGTCAGGAAGTGAAAAAGGTAATACTTCTAGCAACTTTGACCTTCCTATTGCTCTCAGAAAAGAGAGAAGAACATGTGTTAAATACCCCATCTCAAACTATGTTTCTTATTCTAAATTGACATCAGACTTTGCAGCCTTTACTTCCAGTATCTCTTCTATTTCTATTCCTACAACCATACAGGATGCCCTATCTAAACCTGAGTGGAAGAAAGCTGTTTTGGAGGAGATGGAGGCTCTTGAAAAGAATCAGACATGGAAGCTTGTAGAGTTACCTAAAAATAAACCTACAGTTGGTTGCAGGTGGATTTTCAACCCCAAGTTTAAGGCAGATGGAAGTTTGGAGAGATATAAGGCAAGACTAGTTGCCAAGGGGTACACACAGACCTATGGAATTGATTACAAAGAAACCTTTGCACCAGTTGCAAAGTTGAACACTGTAAGAATTCTTTTATCTCTTGCTGCCAATTTAGACTGGCCATTACAACAACTGGATGTAAAGAATGCTTTTTTAAATGGGAAACTTGAAGAAGAAGTGTACATGGAACCTCCACCTGGGTTTGAAAATAAGTTTGGGTTAAAGGTTTGCAGATTAGAGAAGGCTTTATATGGACTTAAACAGTCTCCAAGAGCCTGGTTTGACAGATTCACAAAGTTCATAAAAAAGCAAGGATTTAATCAAGCTCAAGCTGACCATACTTTATTCATGAAGTTTTCAGGTAAGGGGGAGATTGCAATCTTAATTGTCTATGTAGATGATATTATCCTCACAGGAAATTATCACACAGAGACTAAAAGATTGAAAGACAAACTTGCTCATGAATTTGAGATTAAAGACCTAGGAAATTTAAAATTTTTCCTAGGAATGGAGATAGCTAGATCAAAGAAGGGTATTGTTGTCTCACAAAGGAAATATGTTTTAGATCTTCTACAGGAAACTGGAATGAGTGCCTGCAAACCAGCAGACACTCCAATTGACCCAAGTCAGAAATTGGGAGATATCAAGGAGGGAAATCCAGTTGATATTCACCAATATCAAAGATTGGTAGGAAAATTAATATATCTGGCACACACTAGACCAGATATTGCATTTGCAGTAAGCATGGTAAGTCAGTTTATGCATCATCCTTTCCAAGAACATCTTGATGCTACTTACAGGATTCTAAGATACCTGAAGAGCTGTCCAGGGAAAGGATTGTTTTTCAAAAAGGGAAACAATAGGAAAATTGAAGCTTTTACTGATGCAGATTATGCTGGCTCAATATCTGATAGGAGATCTACCTCTGGATACTGCACCTATGTATGGGGAAATCTAGTAACCTGGAGAAGTAAGAAACAAAATGTGGTTGCTAGAAGTAGTGCAGAATCAGAATTCAGAGCTATGGCTAATGGAATATGTGAGTTACTGTGGATCAAACGAGTAATCACAGAACTAAAGATGGAGATTGAGCTGCCTATGAAGTTATATTGTGATAATAAAGCTGCTATAAGCATTGCTCATAATCCTGTGCTACATGATAGAACTAAGCACATTGAAGTGGACAGACATTTCATTAAAGAGAAGATTGAAGCTGGAATCATTTGCACACCATTTGTATCCACTAAAGATCAAACAGCTGATATCTTCACCAAAGGGTTATTTAGACCTATATTTGAGCTACTTATAAGCAAGTTGGGAATGTATGATATATACTTACCAACTTGAGGGGGAGTGTAGAAAAATGTAACATATTCTTGTTATTTTAATTACTTGTACATCCGGAACTGTGTAGATAAGAATTAGAGTAGATAGGACTCTCTAATTAGTAGATAAGCTCACAGAATAGATAGAATAGATAGATCCTATTTTTTAGGATCTGTAACAACTTGATTTTATCTGTAAACATGTATATATACCATGGCCGGATGGCTCAATAATATTAAGGAAGTTTTATTCCTAAAACTTACAGTTGTTTTCCAAATACGACCTTGACCAGTCAGACCTTGAAACCAATAGGTTCAAGCTTCTTCAGGTATGCGATATTTCTTCTCATCTTGCACAGAAGAGGAACTGGCCAAATGTCTGCAAGACTGATATGATGTATCGCCATTCATCAAACTTTGTGTTGGAAGGATTGAACGTCGTTTCTATTGTTGATTTGGTTCTCCAACCATGTCCATTGGGAACTTCTGAAACTGGGTTACTTAAAATCGAGGACATAATTTTAGGGAATTCATGCTTGGAACGAAAGAGATCTAGTCCAATGGTTCTTAAGGATCTGGTTCATCTTTTTTCTTGGGAATCATATGCCATTATTCAAATTGGGGTAGTGATTTCACATGGAGGTCCTCTAAATTGGAGGGAGGGTGTGAGCAGAGGAAGCCATTTTCCAACCCTGTTCTAATTTCACCTTTTCATTTGAACATGACAATGCCTTGGCATGAACACACCTCACTTTTTGAACCAGTATACAAACTACTGGCAATCTCCTTACATAATCACCACTAATTAAGGCATATGGGAAGATAGCATGATTGAGTTCATTTTCAAGCATCATAAACCTCCAAACATCATAGGTGCACATTCGTGTTTGAGACAGGCCCTCCTCATCAGCCCCTGTGATTTTGTTGATAAGTTCCAAGGCCGCCTCAGTTTGGTCTGTACGATTTCCTTCCTGACTGTAAGGAATATCAAGTTTGAGCAGTGCTGAATCTTCAGAGGGAGGTTGCCGTTGAACCAGGAGAATCTGATGGCGACAAAACCTGCGAACTCTGAGAAACAGCGTGAGTCAGAGTTTGCGATGATGAAGAAGGCGAAATGTGAGAATCGACTGGCGAAGAAGATAGGATTCTCCTCCCGATCGCGTCTTACTTGGACGCGAACTGATAGCTGATGAAGATGCCTGCGGACTGAGACTTGCGAACTGGTAGACAATGTATGTGACTGCGATTGCGAAGAAGTTCGTGATTGCAAACTGTGAGATGGAGTTCTTGAAGAAGCTAAATAACTGGATGGAAGTGCTCACGACTGAAAAGAGACCTGCGCACGCGATGAGATCTGTGAACTAGGCAAAACTATTCGCCATTGCGAACTAGGAAGAGCTACGTTCGAAGCAACCTGATTTTCAGTTGGCCGACGGCGTCTAGGAGGATTCCTCGCTCGGCCTCTAGTTCTCCGGCGACGCTGTTTACGCAGATGATGTATCATCTCATCCAGCGTCGTTTCCATCTTCTTTACATGGCATTGGACACTTCCACTATTCTCCATCTGTGCACATTAACAGTCCTCAAACGATCGTTGATGCTCTGATACCAATGATAGATGCTCTAATTTCGTAACAGTAAATTGATCACTATTATTGAGGTAAAATTGCAGAAAGGAAGAAGAAGATACATACGATGCGCTTCGAGAGGCCTCAACTCTCCCAGGTCCCAATTTCCCAAACCCAAAATCTGCCTACCTTTCTATTCATAGCTCACCCTATTTATTCTTTTTCTAATGGACCAGCCCACTTTTTAGTTATAGGGCCTAAACCCCTTTTATTATACAATATTAAAAGACTTAGTAGCATTCTTCTTATTCTAGTATTATTTTAGGTCTCTATCATAAATTGTATTCTATGAAATTGAAAGTGCATCAAGTGAAACTGAAATGTGCATTAGGTGAAATCGAAATGTGCAACACAAATGGTAAGACACATGGTATTATGTGAAACTGAATTGTGCATTATGGAAAACTGAAATGTGCACTAGGTGACACTGAAATGTGCAGAATAAAAACTACGATGCGGCGACATTTTTGTGCCTTTTATTCTGCACATTTCAATTTCACGTAATGCACATTTGAGTTATACATTTCATTCTGCACATTTCAATTTCACTTAATGCACCTTTTAGTTATACCAAATGCACAATTCAATTTTACATAATACAATCTGACGGTCTAGATTCATTCTCATTTCTCTCCTTGGAGTCCTTTCTCACCGGAACCACTCTTTCTGTCTCTCTCTATATATAGGGCAGATCATATCAGGCCGGCCTGACGAAAACAACCATCAAGACAAGGCCATTGGGGCCTCTCGATTGAATTTTTAGCTGAAATTTGGTGGGCATAAACTAAACTTGATGTTGAACATGCTCAAAAAATTTCATCAAAAAATTCCACCGGGAAGGCCCCAAATGCCCTCAGCCGGACGGCAAGTCCTGTCAAGGCGACCTAACAAGACTGCTACTCTCTCTCTATATATATGGTGCGATTCAAATAAAAAGTGGTGTTTCCGTGGATGAAAAATATGAATAAATTTGGAGCATCGAATTTATGATCTAATGACTCTAACTATGTCAAAAATGCATTAAAGTGGATGAAAAATGCAGTGACATTTTAGTAAATAAATCAAAGTTTTTCTTGTTTGCAAAAAGTGGACTTCCAGTGTGCAATAGTGTGACGTAAGCACCAAAAGTGTGTCGGAAAATTTCCCAATGCAAGATGCAACTCAGATGCTCAAAAGTGGAGGCATTCACATTTTGTATTTTAAGACTACCTTTTATTGGAACCGGACCCTATACACACACATATTAGAGATTTTGGTTCGAGAAGAGTGCTTCCTAGATGAAAATATAAACTAATCTTAATCATTGATGTGAAAAAATGAATGAAAGAGATGGAGATCAAATTTTAATTATGAAATGTGGTGACATTATAGAAATTATGATCAACTTTAAATAAAAAAAATAACAAATGTGTACAAGAATATACGAATAATGTATTTGTACACCACAAAGTGCTTCACAGTACTATACAAATGGCGCTTAAGATAAAAATTATGGTAATCTTCTTTTACACTCATGAATGCACTTTTAACTATAAACGATCCACTTTGTACTATTAATATTTGCACATAATTTTGTCACCGTGTCTTTTGATTAAAAACTAATCTAATCCATCATTTCTAAAGTGATTAAAGACAAATATTTATTGTTGCTTTTCATGAGAATATCTCTTTTCAGTTGAACTTTCCCCTATATACTACCTTTGTTCTCTATGAAATGAAACATTGGACTTTTTACACTATTCACATATTCTACTTTGAGTCTATTTTATTTATTTATGTATTATAAATTAAATTTTAAAAAAAATTGTTAAATACCTCTCATTTTAAATTTTCTAAATCTAATTTTTTAATTTTTTTTTACTAATAAGGAATGAAAGATAGTAACGGTCAAACTTGTGCGTTGGCAAACGTGAAAAGTGGACTGTTGCAATTAAAAAAGAACGGAGGAAGTATATGCACACACATATATACATGGATGCATGCATACATACATACACTACATGCACATATATACATGGAATGATTCTAGTGAGAATTTATCTTAAAATGAGAACACAATTAGGAATGAGAATATTTAATCTTCACCTTTCACATTTCAGTAAAAACGCGTCGCGCCTTTTAAAACTAAGGTCGACATTAAGGATCTTTCCTCAAGAGAGTACACCTTGTGACAGAAGATTTGACATCAATGACGTCTTTTCTAATATTTGTTACTGGAATGTGGACTTTCGGGCAGAATAGTCCCTAACATGCACATAATTATCAATTATAGGACTATAAGTAGAGATTATTTATTCTCACATGAAAAGAGATTATTTCATTTTTTGGTCTCCTAAAACTCATCCACTAACATACTTTTTAGATATAATAAAAATATTTCTTAAGTTAAATGGACATTATTTGGAATTACATTTTAACTGAGCCTCTTGATGCTACTAGAATCTTCTTCGTTCCTCGATTAAGACGACAATGTAAGATGTCTTTTGGTTGAAGAAGAACCTTACCGTCATGAAGGAGAGGCATGGAGGAAATGCGTGCTGGAGGTTTACCTTTCAATTCTTTCAATAGGGAGATGTGAAAAACATCATGTATACAACTGTGGGTTTGGAGGCAGTTCCAATTGATAGGCCACTGAACCTATTCTGCGAAGCACATGTAAAGGGACAAAGAAACGACGAAGCTTATGAGACCTACGAGCTTTAACCGAGTGTTGACTGTAAGGGTGGAGGCGTAACCACACCCATTGATCGGGCTGAAAATGGATGTCGCGATGGCATTGGTTATATATAGCTGTCATACTTGCTTGGGCTTGTGACAGGTGACTGGGGGCATCAACTAGCATCTCGTCACGAGCCTTAACAGATATGTCTATTGCCTCGACCTTGGAGGAGCCGGGATCATAGGTTAACATGCAGGGAGGGTCACGACGATACACAAGTTTGAATGGAGTAGTGTCTAGAGCTGAGTGATAAGAGGTATTGTAACAATATTCTGCCGAGGGCAACCATTCCACCCAGCGACGTGAGTGATCCCCAACCAAACACCGCAAGTACATTTCAATTGTCTGATTGACCACTTTTGTTTGACCATCCGTTTGTGGTTGGTAAGATGAAGAGAAGGCTAAGGAAGTACCACAAAAGGCGGAACAACTCCTGCCAAAAAGAGCTGGTAAAAAGAGGGTCTCGATCACTGACCATAGTCTCCGGGAATCCATGAAGCTTGAGAATTTTAGAATAAAAGACACAGGCAACTGATAAGGCAGTGTAGGGATGAGCTGATGGTATAAAATTTGTGTATTTGGAGAGGTGATCAGCACACCAAAAGCACAAATTTATCTTAAACCTTTGACAGGCCCTCAACAAGTCCAATGAACTATCTGACCAGATATTGGATGCCCTTCAAAAGGAATGCTCGAGTTACGTGGAAGAGTGTTTTTTGCATGCCTTCGTGGTAGTATCGTGAATGTCTCTCAATACAACTGGAATTAGAGCAGGGCTGGGAAGCAGGAAAAGTTGATTGTTGCAATGGATTAGACCATAAAAAATGAGCAACGTTGAGCCTTCCTCACCCTTACTAATGTGTTCGATCAATTGTTGCCCTTCCAAGCTTGACTGCAATTTATCTCGAACAACTTGAAGGAATGAAGAGTGTCGGACTGACAAGGCTAGTAAGATCCCTTGTGCCTCACCTGGTTCATCTTCGTGTTGGCGTGATAGAGTATCTCACTGAGTGCTTCACCTGGTTCATCTTCGTGTTGGCGTGTTGACTAATGTATCGAGTCTCCCGAATTTGTATTCCGCATCAAATTCAAACCCCAATAGTTTGCTCACCGAGTGTTGTTGAGGTGGGGTTGTAAGGCGTTGCATGAGTAAGTACTTAAGACTCTAGTGGTAAGTGGGCACGATAGACGAGTTCCCCCATAAATAATGTCGCCAGTGGCAGACTGCTTGTGCTAATCCGATGAGTTCCCGTTCATAAGAAGGAAGTTTGGTGTGGTGATTGACTATCTTTCGATTGAAAAAGGCAACTGGTTAATTGTCTTGCTAAAGAAGATCACTAATTCCCACTTTGAAGTATCACATTCTACAATAAATGTCAAGGAAAAATGAGGAAGCCGTAAAACAGGGGCAGCCGAGAGGGCCGCCTTGAGAGTTTGGAATGACTCTATGGCTGCATCGGTCCACTGAAGGACTTCTGTTTCAGCATTGCAATAAGGGGTGTTGCAATTTTCCCGTAGTCTAGAAAGACTAAGAAACCCACAGATTGCTCGAACTATGAGAGGTTTTGGCCATTGTCGAACTGCCAGTACCTTCTCTTCGTCCACTGTGACTCCTTCTTGAGTGATGATGTGTCCAAGATAAGCAACCTTAGTTTCGCCAAATGAACATTTCATCCTCTTAACATATAACTGATGTTGTGGTAGCAAGTCAAAGACCAATTTGAAATGATGAAGGTGCTCCATCCAAGTTTTACTATACACAAGAATATTATAAAAGAAAACTAACACAAATTTGCGTAGAAAGTCTTTGAATACATCATTCATCAGAGATTGAAGGGCCGACGGTGTATTTCATAACCCGAAGGGCATCACTAAAAATTCAAAGTGCCCGTGATGTGTACGAAATGCAGTTTTTTCAATATCTTCTGGATGCATCCGGATTTGATGATAGCCATAGCGTAAATCAAGTTCATCATTCATCATCATCACCCCAGTTCCGCAAAGTCTCCCACCTACGGTAGGGTAGGGGGGGTTGGATGTACGCAGTCTTAACCCTGTACTAAAGCACAAAGAGACTATTTACGGATGACCCTGATAAGAACATGAAACTCCAGCACAAAATTAACAGATTTATTACTGGAAATCTGTATTCCAAGTATGTAAAATCTCAGAACAATTAGGAGACTAGAAAGATGACTTGCAGAAAAGGAATTACAATCTGGAAGCTATTCGAGAGGGCCCCTCTCTCCCAACAAACTATCCAAATTCCTGACTGCCTTTTCTGCCTCATTTGACTGCCTTTTATTTCCTTTCTCGAGCCTGTCCAGCTACCACATTTACTTAGACCATCCCTTTATTTCCTTTCTCCAGTTTAACCTGTTCAGCTTCCACATTTATTTAGGCCATTCCCCCTTTTATTAATTATTTGGGCCATTCCCCCTTTTATTAATTATTTACCCTATTGCCCCTCCGGTTGTAAACTCTAGAGAAATCCCTATTGGGATTAATTTCTAAAGTAACCGCACTCTCATCATTACCCCCCCCTGTCCCCTTTAAAAATCACCTTGTCCCCAAGGTGAAAATTGGGAAACATAGCTTGGAACCGAGATACCTCTTCCCAGGAAGCTTCAAATTCTGGTAAATCCTTCCAGCGAATCAATATCTCCTTACTCCCATTGGTGTTTTCGCTAGCATCCAACACTTGCTCAGGTTGTGTTTGGAGTTCCCAGTCCTCAGTTAACTAGATGTTTAACTGAGGACTGGGAACTAGTACCAGGCTTCATGGGTTTCCCAAGACCATACTTCTTCGGTTTGCTACCAGGTCTTGGGAAACCCATGAAGCTTCATTATCTCCTGAAATACAGTACTTTAAGGTCTTGGGAAACCCATAAAGCTTCACTATCTCCTGAATAAACATCTCTGCCACACTTTTAGCTGTATAAGGATGGTCCAATGCCAAGAAATGGGCATATTTGGACATTTGGTTAGCCTATCAACCACCACTAATATGGTGTCCTTCCCCATTGTCCGAGGTAACCCTCCAATAATGTGTAGGCTAATATCAGTCCAAATATGATCAGGAATAGGCAGAGGTTACAGCAACCCCGCAGGACTTAAAGCCTGGTACTTGTTCCTTTGTCAGACCTCACAACTCTTCACATAATTCTGAATATCCTGTCTCATACCCTCCCAATACAGC